TTCCACATTTGCAGAGATCCGAGACTCGGTGCACTGCAACCAACTGGCGTGCTGCAACTCTATGAACCCCACTTCGTGAAATGTTTGCGCAGAGGGCTCTTGTTGAGTTGCTGGCCCGCCTTCACTTAGGGCGGGCACTTGGCTTGCTGGGGCCTTAGCCCAGAACATGTTCATCATGGCAAGGCCCCTTCTTGAGGGCTCAATCCTCACCTTAATAAAAAACCAATAATAAGATTAATACAATTACAAATAAATAATAATAATAATAATAATAATTATAATAATGATAATAATAATAATAATAATAGTAATCATATAATAGAAAAAGTATTACATAATTTTAGTTGATGAAAAGATATAATTTTTTTCTCTACTACAGAACCGTACATGAAACTTTTATCTCATACGGCTCCTTAACAACTAAAGATAATCTTTTTTATCTTCAAGCTTTGAAAAAAAACATCTGTACATGCTTCTAGTCTTCATCGAGTTTATTTGAATTTAAATAATAATGTGAACGTTTTTTTTGGTAAAAATTCTTCTATTCTAGAGAATTTGGAACAATTATCTCTGTTTTCTTTAAACACAAATAAAAGAATAGAAAAACCAATTAAAGGAATTGATGATCAATCGCTTCAATTAGGAATTTACATAGGAGCTTTAACAGTCATTTTTTTTAATAATATCGTATATGCTGCTAGACACCCTACCCAGCAGTCACATCACACCCACTCCTCTATGCCACCGTATGCCCCCGAGAACCTCCTTAGACACAGAAGAAGGTGATAACACATCACAAATGCACAACGCAGCAGCTCCAGGTGCCGCAACACTATAACTCCTGCACGGGCACACCTGTTTTACCAACAAGAACGCACATACAGCACACTGCCTGCACAACGTGCGGCCACCACTCACCAAACATCACCCATGAACAAATTACTGCTGACTCTAATCAATACGACCCCTGTTTGCTTCCCTCGTGCCACCAGCACACAAAGTCCTCGAGCGGGTTTAAACCACCAGTGCTCAGCTATTGATGCCGAGCCGGAAATCGACCTGCGCGCCGTTTTTTTCCGAGCCTGTAGTGGGGGGAAATCGATTTAGAACATTTGTGAGCCGGGGGAAACTGATTTGGAACATTTGTGGGCGGGCACTGGTTCCGCCACTTATTCTGGACCTGCTACCAGCAGGAGGAACGAAACGGGCTGTAGCTCACTAGTTTTCACTCGTGCAGGTGTGAGACTGCCTGACGCATTGGTGACAGGACTTCACTGCCCCCCGTTTCTCACGGGGAGTCAATCAGATGCTGCCGAGATTCTTTTTTTTTTTTGCTATTGCAACAACGGAAATGGAAAAAATGGCAAACGGCATTCTAGGCGACGGCCTTCAGTTTCATGAGTACATGGCACGGATTCAGGGAGGATACATTCTCGAGAGAGTTCTTTCTTGAGTCGCATGAGACACAGCTGAGGGTTTCTTTTTTAGTTTTCCTTTTTATTTTAGTTGCAAGGAGAAAAAAAGAACGGCAGAAAAGGTGGCTGCACGTCCTCCTTCCTATTCACAAGTATCTACCCACAACTTAGGGAGATTACATTCTCGGGGTAGTGCTTCCCTTTGGGGCATGCGAGATACAGCCCAGATTCTTCTTTTTTCTCCTTTCTTTTGCAGAAAAAAAAAAACAAAACGGGAAAAGATGGTGTGCAACGCGAGTGCCTTCAGATTCATGACAGGAACTTGAATGCTCCCAATATTGAGGGCGGATACATACATTTTGGGGAAGTGCCTAAAACACTGGGTACGGCAAAAAAACACCCCAGAAATATATTTATCGTCACATATATTTTTTGAAGACGGGCTCGTCCTGTGCTAGGCGAGAGGACCCCGAATCTGCAATAAAATTATGGTTTGGCGGGGGGGGAAGGGTTGTCTGGTGTGAAGGGGGGGGGGGGGGGGGGGGGGGTTTGGGTGTTGGGGACTCTGCATGTATGTTTCCTGGGGTATGGCAACAGGCTGTGGCGGCGGTCCTACAAGAAGAAGAAGAAGAAGAAGACGAAGAAGATGGGCGGAAGAGGAGGAGGAGAGATGAGGAAGGAGAAGAAGATGAGGGGGAGGTGGAGGAGGAGAGAAGAAGAAGAAGAAGAAGAAGAAGAAGAAGAAGAAGAAGAAGACGGGCGGAAGAGGAGGAGGAGGAGAGAAGAGGAAGGAGAAGAAGATGAGGGGGAGGCGGAGGAGAAAAGAAGATTTTTTTTTTTTTNTTTTTTTTTTTTTTTTTTTTTTTGTAACGTGCCGCTCCTCACGCGACCTGCAAAACGATGGAGAAGATGGCGGTGGCGGCAGGGCGGTATGGTGTGCTGGCGGGGTATGGCGACGGGCTGTGGCGGCGGTTCTACAAGAATAACAATAATAATAAAAATAATAATAATAATAATAATAATAATAATAATAATAAGAAGAAGAAGAAGAACATGAAGATGGGCGGAAGAGGAGGAGGAGACAAGAGGAAGGAGAAGAAGATGAGGCGGAGGTGGAGGAGGAGAGAAGAAGAAGAAGAAGAAGAAGAAGAAGAAGAAGAAGAAGAGGAAGAAGAAGAAGAAGAAGATGGGCGGAAGAGGAGGAGGAGGAGAGAAGATGAAGGAGAAGCAGATGAGGGGGAGGCGGAGGAGAAAAGAAGAAGAAGAAGATGGGTGGGAGAGGACGAGGAGGAGAGAAGACGAAGGAGAAGAAGATGAGGGGGAGGCGGACGAGAAATGAAGAAGAAGAAGAAGAAGAAGAAGAAGAAGAAGAATGGCGGCTAGGGTTACGGCGGCAGTGGAGGGGAATGGCGGCGCGGTATGCCGTTAGCGTATGGCGGTCCAAGAAGAAGAAGAAGAAGAAGAAGAAGAAGATGGGCAGAAGAGGAGGAGGAGGAGAGAATTGGAAGGAGAAGAAGACGAGGAGGAGGCGGTGGAGGAGAGAAGAAGAAGAAGAAGAAGAAGAATAGAAGAAGAAGAAGAAGAAGAAGAAGAAGAAGAAGAAGAAGATGACGAGCGGAGCAGTTTTTTTTCTTTTTCTTACCTGCCGTTTATCTCGCGACCTATCAGGAACGAATGTGAAAAAAAAAAAAAAGAAACTTCTCGAAAAGAAGATAGAGAGGAGGAGGAGGAGAGAACAATAAGAAGACGAAGATGAGGGGGAGGAGGATGATGAGAGATGATGAAGAAGAAGAAGAATAAGATGAGAGGGGGAGGACGAGGAGAAGAGAAGAAGAAGCAGAAGAATAAGAGGAGGAGGAGGAGGAGGAGGGAAGAAGAAGAAGAAGAAGAAGAAGAAGAAGAAGAAGAAGAGACCGGCAGTCCTTGTTGATGGGCAGCAGTGGATGCTGGCAGGCAGCAGCTTCGACGACGGGCGACGGCAGTCCCAGGCGATGGTGACGGCAGGCAGCAGCTTCTACGACGGGTGACGGGCGACGGGCGACGGCTGTCCCGGGCGATGGCGACGACGGGCAACTGCTTCGACGACGGACACCAAGGTGGAACGCGGCGGCTGGAGCAGGGGCCCCGTCTGGAAACCCAATGCAGACCGCCCAAGCCACTCGCTTGTTCAAACGGGCCGTCCTGTTTCCCTCCAAAAACGAACGGCCCTCTGGCCGTCGATCATGGATGATCGACGCCCGGGGGGCCATCCAAAATTAAAAAAAAAAAAGCAGGCCTCACGGGCCCGACGCGCCGTTTTCTGGGTGTGGTCGGATTCGGGGTCTGAAACCCCCCTACAAGTGAGTGTGCTGGGGGGGCCGGGCCCCCAACCGGGCCGCCCGCCCGGCCAGGCCGCCCGGGACCTCCCCCGGGCAGGCGCCGGTCGGCCATTCGGGGTCCAAAGTGAATGTTTTAGTTCATTTTGTGGCAGGCAGTTGGATGCTCGCCGTTTCTCACGGGGAGTCAGCCGAGAAACTGCCAGGATTCTCTCTTCCGTGGAAAACAAGAAAAGGAAAGCAATGAAAACGTCATTGGCTTTAGGCTGAAACTGCATCCAGATACATATGTCGAAGTGCTATGATGAAAATGCTCTGCCAACTGTACTTTTCCTTTATTCTTTTTTTTGTCCTTTTCCATTTCACATCCTTGCAATTTTATTTTCTCTTTTTTCTTTTATGGCATTGCACACAGCGATGTGCATGTTTCCACATGCACGGAAATCCAAGAGGACATACTGGAGTCCATTGGGCAGTTTTCCTTGGGCCCGCCACCTTCCTCCCCCATAGCGCTTCCAACCCTCCCCCGAGCCCCTAAGAATGCGGTGCATTGACGTGGAAGGCCCGCGGCCGATGTATGGCCTAAGTACTGGTGGTATAAAAAATCCAATGTTGCTGGCACATCTTGACTAAAACTTTTCTGTTTTCTGGATCTCGATTCTGTGCCCAGTGGTGACAAATTTTTATTTTCGCCTGGAAGTCGTGTTTTGCAATTTCCAACAAATGTAATTGCAGTCCTGTTACACTGAAAATTGATTAGGCCTACAGGAAGTCGATCGGCATGGCCTGTGTGGACCACTAGGTTGGACTGTTTTTCTGCCGGTTCGTCTTCACTGTCGGTACAGTAGGCCCTGGACAGTCAACGGGGTAGTGCCCATGTCCCGAAATTGAAGTTTCGGCACAGGCACAAACAGTTTGGAAACGGTCCACCACCCCCTCCAAAGCCATGGCGGACTCATGGGAAAGCCAATTCCTGGTGCACGGGGGAGTGGTGGTTTAATGGACTGTGCAGGAGCTATGTTTACAAAGGAGAGCGTTTCACAAACAAGGAAAAGAGGAAGAGTGGTCTACTGTTTCTCGTTTTTGAAGCTTTGGATGAAGAATGTACATGCCTATGTAGATCCATGAATGACGATGGATATGGAGAAAATCAATTGGCAGGGAGGAGAACGCTTTGCTGCCGAGGTGGGTGGTGGAGTGCTCATGAATGTCCATCTAGTGATGATATTGAGATGAATCGAACATCGTGTTTTGGCATTTTGCTGTGCAGGATTTTCATGGCGTGTGGCCGATTTTTGATGCGAGGCAAGCACGTGATTTCAAGAAGGTGAGGGAGGAAGGCGAACCCTTTTTCTGGAGATTTTTATTGGGATGACGCTTTTTTTGCCCAATTTTAATTGCAATAAAACTAATGTGATGCATGAATTCAGAAATTGCTGTTGTTTTTGCCAAAGAAAGGCTATTCGCTGCAGACCTGTCTTCCTTCTCCAGAGTCTCTGTTTCATAGCTTCCTCCTCTGTGTGTGTGTGTGTGTGTGTGTGTGTGTGTGTGTGTGTGTGTGTGTGTGTGTGTGTGTGTGTGTGTGTGTGTGTGTGTGTGTGTGTGTGTGAGAGAGAGAGAGAGAGAGAGAGAGAGAGAGAGAGAGAGAGAGAATCATGGGGAAAGAGGTTTACTGGGGATGCTGTGTGCCATGGTGGTGGTTTTGCAGGTTGTACAGTCCCTTATTAGTGATTTGGAGAATGTTGGTGCATTGCCGAAGAGCAATTCGAGGATATCGGCGCTTGCAACCTGCTGTGGAGAAAGGTTTTTTACCCTCAACCACTTCGGTGATTGTTTTCATCCCCAATGCCGTTGTGACTTCAATTCTTTTGACCACGTTTGTGGCAATATTTTCTCTTCCCAGTGGGCATTACCTCAACCACTTTGGTGATTGTTTTTCTCCATAAGGCCGTTGTGACTTCAATTCTTTTGACCATGTCTGTGGCAATATTTTCTCTTTCCAGTGGGCATCAATATGGTCTGTATGTAAAAGAATAAGGCTTGTGCTCCACAGACGCTTGCTGGTGACTTTGGGCCTCGCCACGCCACTCCGGAATCCGGAAAAGAATTTGGGAGTACTGCCAAATTGTATAATTCCAAAACTGCCCATCGAGAGTGCCCTTCGCCACACTCACTCTCGAATCGGGCACTCTCGAGTTCCGACATAGATAGAGACTGCTTTTCGGGAGTCCAGTGCGGCGAAGCCTGCACTCTCGAAATCTTGAATCTGCCCAGTAAAATTGACCAGAGGGGATCTTCGAATTCGAGAGCAGTCCTGAACACTACACTCCAAAACCTCTTCAATTTCGTGGGTGGCATGGGCTGTGGGTGTAAGAGGGAACAGGTTTGGTACCAGTGAACAGAGTTGTCCTACTGATGAACTAAGGGGGGTTGCAGGGAACAGGGTAGTCCTACAAATGAACTAAAGGGATGGCGGGGAGCAGGGTAGTCCTAGTGATGAACTAAGGGGACTGCATGGTTTGCTATAGGGTAAGGGGGAACAGAGTTCAGGGAACAGGGAACTTCTATTGATGTTCTACTGGGTAAGGGAAACGATGTTCAGGAAAACAGGGTATTTCTATTGATGTTGTAGTGGGTAAGGGAAACAATGGTCAGGGGAACAGGGRATGTCTATTGATGTTCTAGTGGGTACGGGGAACAATGGTTAGGGAAACAGGGATCTGCTAATGATGTTCTACAGGGTTGTCAAAGTGAGGAAAAATAAAAATGAAAATGTTTGTTCAGGATGGAAGGGCTGGTGTGTCCGAAGGAGTCGGAAGCAGAATCTCATTAGGAACGAAGTGTCCAAGTGTCTTGAAAGGGGGTCTGCAGCGGTCTTGATCAGGTCTGTGGAGTAGGTGGTAGAAGCGGTCTTCAGCAGCTGCGATAGGCAGAAGTCCGAGAAGCGTAGTAGTAGTTCAAGTGTCAAAGTCCAAGTGCTAGGGTGAGTCCGGTACACGAACTGCAATGAGGTCTGATCTGGAAGCAAGTAAGTTGCAGATTGATGCAAAGATCCATGTCACAAGTTGCTGCTCCAGTAAGTCCGCGAGTTGGGATGCCGGCCGATGAAACACCATGGTGGCCAAACCAGCTGCATAATCTCCATGAGCAGTGAGGCAGCAGGCCATCGTCCTCGTGCGCTTGCCATTAGAGCCTTTATCGCCGGCGTCACGCAGGTTCACAAGCATTGGACGAGAGACAAGGTAGTGGAGAGGACAGATGGGACAAGGCTAGGCGAGGGCAAGGGCAGATCAGACATCAGGAAGGAGGGTGAAGGGGAGGGTGGACCGGGTTCAAGGGTGTGTGTAAAGTGGGGTTGCGAGGTTGTAGCAGGTTTTCTGCCATAGCTATATAGGTATCTAGACATATGATTAGCACGATCATAGCGTGGACAAGTTTCATGGTGTTCTTAATATTAGAGAGAGGTTCCCATGTAGATTCTTCGTCGGGGTATCCGGTCCATTTGACTTTGTGTTCAGTGTTTGGTTTCGGATTATCAGATACCTGAGTGGTTCGTCGGCCGATGATGGTTTCGACAACGAATTCAGGGCCTGTGGGTAGCATGATTGGTGGAGGTCTAGGATATGGGTGGTCGACAAACTGGGGCGGGGATTTATGGTATTCTTTTAGGTACTCGACATGGAAGACTGGGTGGACACGACTCATGTCAGGGGGAAGTTGAAGTTTGTAGTTGACGGGGAAGGTTTGTTCAATGATGGGGAAGGGACTGAGCCATTTGTTGGAGAGTTTCTTGGACAAGCCGTGTTCAGGTTCCAAATCGATGGCATGGGATACGCCACGATCCGGAGGTAGTCCGRCGGGTAAGGACTCGGGAAAGACGTCCTTGAACTCGTTGAGGATTGAGGTGATGGCGGGGTTGGGGGGGGGGGGCTTGATCGGGCTTGTCCGTCGGGAGTAAGTCCTCGGGACTTTTGCGATCAAGGAGAAGACAGTAGTAGGCGTAGTCGGGGTTTAGGGGAGCCATGTGGAGGAATTGGTGCGGGGTGAYAGAGCCTTGGGAGGTCGGATATGGGAGATAGGGGATGTCAATGGTTGTGTCGGGGGGGTTGGTGAGGCGAAGGAAGTTGGGGTGGAATGCGTATGGCATGTGCGGTCCAGCCATGGTTCCTAAGACAATGTTGCACATCAAGTGCATGACATCAAGCGAGACCTGACTGTGGAGGGTTCCGACGGTCAGGGCGGTCTCGGGAACCGTGCGGTCTACTACGACGGCGGTGTCTTTGTCCCTTAGGCGAATTGTGATCGGGGAGTCATAACCGGTAGAGGTAAGACCGCCTTTGCGGACATGCGCGTTGGTGATGAAGTTACCGGTGGCTCCAATGTCGAGGAAGGCCCAGAACTTGGTTGTAGATGCACCAAGGGTGGCGGCGATGAATTTGAGGTGGAAACGAGATGAGCTGGCGGTGGAGATGATGGTGTTGAGGCGGCGTTGTTCGTTGCCTAAGCGGACAAGCCGATCGCGTCGAGCTTGTTCCTCAACAACATCGGAGAAGGTGACAGTGGATGGGTTTGGAAGAAGGGTAGAGGAGCATGAGGCAGTGGGAGGCATTTGCGACGCCTGGGAGTCGTCCGGTGGAGGGAGCGTCACAGGAGAGGGGGGAGGCAGGCGAATTGTCGATGCTAGATGAGCCACCGGTGGAGGAGAGATCGTCACCGATGGGAGAGTTGGCAGATAAGTGGTCGATGCCTGGGGAGGATTGCAAGAGACAGGGGGACAGTGTTCAGGCGGGGGAGGGCCCGACTATCGCGGTGGAGGAAGAAGTGGGAGTAGAAGGGCCGGGTCCCGTGGAGCGAGTGGCCCGTCGAGTAAAGCGGCTAGCATTGGGGCAATTGGTCTGTTCATGACCTAATCGGCGACATCGAAAACACCAATTGTGTTCCTGGAGGTATATGCGTTCTGCGGGTGTGAGTTTTCGGAGACGACGGGGTGGAGAGGCAGAAGGCGGTCGGGAGGCACGATCTTGGCGTCCCGTCCGGATAAGGTGGGCGGTTTGGAGGTCCTCAATTGTGAATTGGGAAGGGTCGGGATAGGCAGTGTCGAAGTCGTGATCGGAGGTGGGTGGAGTGGTGTCATTATGGAAAAAGCGGGGGCGGGAGGGAGCGGGCGCGGATTGGTGATGGGGGTGGAGTCGTCGATCGTGGTGAAACATGCGAGAGAGGAGGTCAGCAAGGGGCATGTCGGGTTCGTGGGCGAGGGTGGTTGCGGGGTCTTTGTGGCATACTCGTTTGATGTGGGAGATGAACGCAAAGTCGGGAATGATGGTAGTAGGGAGGTGGTGGCGGAGGGAGTGGACATATTGGACGAAGCAGTCCGTGGGACCGGTCTGGCGGAGGTGTCAAAATTGTTCAAGGTAGTCATCAATGGTTTTCTGGGGGCGAAAGTTGGCGGTGAGAAGGTTGGCCCATTGGAGGAAGGAGTGACGTGGTCCTCCGGAGGCTCGGCGGTTGCTGACTTCAGCCATCCACCATTTGGCGACATTGTCGAGGAGGCGGGAGGTGGCAATGGGGAGCCAGTGGGCAAGGGGCATGTGGTGGAGGTGAAAAGAGTTCTGGAGCTGGGTTTGGAAGAGGAAAACATCCTAGTTGGGGGGGGGGTGTGGCATTGCGGGATAAACCCTGGAGGTGACTTGGGAATAGGTGGGACGGATGGTGGGGATGGTGGAGGTAGTCATGATGGGGTGGGGAAGGGTATGGGAGTGTGGGGGGGGAAGAGGGGTGACGTGGATGGGCGAGGAATGAGGCGGTGTGCTGGATGCGTCGGATGAGGGAGGAGGTGGGGGGAACGAAACGGTGGTGCAGGTTGAAGGGTTGTTGGATGTGGTGGTAGAGGTGGTAGGAGTGGAGGAGGTCGGCGGGGGGGGGTTGCTGGAGGCGGCTGTGGAGGAGGGAGTGGTTTGCGCTGTGGAGGAGGGAGGTGCGGCCGTGGTGACGACCGGGATGGAGGGGTTGTCCCCTTCGAGTGTGGTGACGTGGTCGGATATGGACGACATCATGGCCTTTATGTCGTTGGGGTTTGGAAGGTGTTGAGTGCGTGACGGTGGTTGTTAGCCTGTGAGGTTGTGGTCGATGCTATCGACTGAGTCGGTGCGGATGTCAGACATGTTGATGGAGCATGTGGTCATGTCGGGGGAAGAGGGGGTGGAGGACGCGGCCGGAATGGATGTGGAGGATGCAGCAGCAGCGGCGGTGACGGCAGCGGCGGCGGTGGCACGTTGGGAGTTCTTGGTTTGGCGTGGTGGCATGGGGAGATGGGGGGACAATTCCTTTTTTTTTTAATATCGTGTGGTCCGAAGGACCACGGATCAGAAACTGATCAGAACAGACACTACACTTGATCTTAGCCAAAAGGCCGAGAAAGGTATGGAGGGGGGGAATAATTCCTATTTACAAGAATAGAGCGTAAATTAATTTGAATTTATTCGAAACTGAGTCACGAGTGTATTTTTCAAGAAAATACGAAAGCAAAATTTTCAGGAATTTCCAAATGAAGAAAGAGAATACTTCATTTCGAGAATAATAAATTCGATGAAGTTTATTCAGATTTATGTTCGGGGTAAAATTTTATAATTTCTAAAAGGGGTGCTTAATTCCGAGTAAAATAGATGAATTCAGTCGTGAATTAATCGAGTTTAGTCGCAATTAATTAAGGAGTTCAGAAAAAAAAAGGAAGTACTTCTGAAATAAAAAAGAATTCGAAAAAGAATTGCGAAAAATATTTTTTTGAATTTCAAGAAAAATTGCAAAAGAAATGTCGAAAAATAATTTAATTAATTCGAGCGTATTTTCAAATCTTTTGGAAAAGAATTTAATTAATTCGAGCGTATTTTGAAAACTTTTGGAAAATAATGAAGTAAAAGTAGTGAATTTTGAAAAACAAATGTTGAGAAAGAATTGATTAATCCGAACGAAAATAATTTAATTAATTCTGAAATATTTTTCGAACTACAAAAGTTTTGAAAATCAATTAATTAAAATTATTTTTGTAATTTCAAAAAAGAAAATCGAAAAAGAATTAATGAGAAATGTTTTCGAAAAAGAAATGTTGGAAAGAAAAGAATTTAATTAATTGTAAAATGTTTTCGATTTTGTCCCGGATACCATTATTTTTACTTAGTCCCACGTGGTCCCCCACGTGGTCCCTGGTGCCTTTCCTCAAGGTGTCCCATGTTCTTTTGGCGTCTGCTGCCCTATGGTAGCCTCCCTTATTCTCTAGCGTCCAGCGGCCACTAGGATCATCCATCTCTCGGCTCCCCTACTCTCTTGTTATCCGCCGCTGCGCTTGCTAAGTCAATGGCCCTCGGGTCCTTGTCCTGCCGAATTCAGATGGCCCTCCGGCCCCATGCTATATTCTTATGTGCATGTGTCCCGTCCCTCGCTTGCTGTTGCCGGTTCCTTCCCCTGCGGTACTCGGCCCAGGGCGTCACTCCTCCTGGTGATCTCGTCCTAGTCCTTCGTATTTTCTCTTTCTCTTGTCTCCTCACTCCAGATTTCTCTGTCGTGCACAACTTGGCTATATATAGGCTCTCGAGTGCCGGGATGTTACCCTATCGGTTACACTGGGGTTGTGAGCCACGACAACCTCTCGATGATATCATCGACAAGGCTACCCCTATGTTGACGCTTCGAAGTGCAGAGTTCACTAGACTTTACCGTGTGGACATTGAGCGCGCCTGTGCCAACCTGCTCAAAGCCCAAAAGGCTATGATTCAGCAGGCTAATAGGCACAAATGTCCCTTTAGTATTCACTCAGGTGACTGGGTGTGGGTACTCAGTTCTGAGCTCTGACGTGAGGAGGACATCTCGCCCAAGCTGTTGCCACGATACATGGGTCCATGGCAGGTTTTAGATACAGCGGGAGCTGATTCCTTTGGACCATCCTATGCTGTGGATGTCCCTCTGCATCGACAAACCCATCCTGTCTTCCATGCATCTAAGCTGTTGCTATTCACATCAGCTGATGGATTTCCAGACAAGCCTCCTCAGTTTGGTCCCCCGATCCCTGGCAAGGGATATGAGGTAGAATCAATTGAGGATGAGATAGGTACATGCGCAGACAAAGAGTACCTTGTGAAGTTTTCCTAGCAGCCGCATACTGAAGTTTTCATACCAGCCGTATACTGAAGATCGCATACCAGCCGCATCCTGACGAGCCTAAAGAATGTTGCAAGGAACTTTTTAAAACTGCCAAGTTTGTTGTCCCTCAAATAGGAGGCAGCGCAAAAGGGAGAACCCCTTTGACGCTCTGCACGCGTACGCCCCTAGCTCGCCCCTAGCTCGTAGGTCCTCGCTCCGGGGGAGGGTAGGTCTGCAATGACCTGCTGGTTCCAGTGGCCTGTAGCCTCTCTCGTTGAGGCTGTACGATAGGTAGGATAGATTCGTAATTTTGTTTGGCTGAGGGCTAACCGAGAGACCTACCTGTAGGGAAATTCTTGAGGGACATATCTGTAAATTTGGGAAAACACAGGGCCGCACTAACTGAAATTACCTACAGCTACCCTAACTGCGAATAGCAGGCTCGGGATACCATTAGGACAGACAGGCTGTAAAGGCGTATGCTGGTAGATGGTCCTATAGCCTATAGCCGGGTAGGTAGAGGCTGAGAGGCCGAAACTGAAACGGTACCGGTCGGTCCAGTCAGTCTGGTCCAGGTCGTGTCTAGGCTAGTGTAGGTTAGAGATAGAATGAGGACATCGGTTGAGGGCATTTGGCAGTCGGTCCTGCAGTGCAACGCGTGAACTGGAAGTGGTGACAGCTTCAGCGTCGAGGAAGACGGGCTGAGTCCAACAGGCATCCGGCAAACAGTCACATCCCAGGGCCAAAAGTCACGCCTCAAAATGAAGAGTTATATTGGAAAGTCACATCTCACGGGCAAAAGACACTTCCACAGGCAAAAGTCGTGTCCCAGAGGCAGGAGTCACAAAGCACAGTCAAAAGCCATGTGCCATAATCGAAAAGTCGTGACTCACAGGCTCAAGCAGCAGCACACCAATGAAAATTCGGGAAAGGTACCAGGCCCTGACATTCAAAAGCAAACAGGCCACGGGGATGTGGTACCGGAACCACGTCAAGCCCCAAGAGGCAGAGGCTGGCCCGAGTTGAAGTTCAGTCCAGGACAATACAAGGACTGGCCAGCCTCCTCATTCGGCAGATTGCTCATTCGCATGAAGTGTGGAAGTGCTGTTGCGCTTGTGCGCTATTGTGAGGGGCGAAGCGCTGAGCCAGGGAGCTGCGCTAGTAGAGGGAGAGAGAGGGAGTGCTGGCAGAGGGAAGGCAGCCATAGCTGCGCCAGTGCTAGGAGTTAGTAGTAGACCTCAGGGGGGTTAGTAGAGTTAGCAGTGCGTGTATTCAGAGTTGGTCCATGAGTAGTAGAAGGTGTGGGTGCATGCAAGTAGGGAGAGAAGACACGGGGAGGTAGTAGACAGAGAGAAGACCGAGAGAGGAGAGAAGAGCTTCGGGAGAGATACGTACCTGAGTGGAGATACTAGATACCTGGGTTTGCGCTGTTGAGCACCTGTGACTGAAACTCTTGAATGCTTGTATGGTAATTTGTTGAACCTCTAACGCTGCGCTTACCTTGTCTTCGTTTCTCTGGCCTCCAGTGTGAACTTCATGTGAACTCTTTCGTGCATCGTGTGTGATTGTGTGCACTCATTGGTGGTGAACTGAGAGGTTCATTGCATAATGTTCTCTGTTTGGTGATGTGTAGAAAGTTGCAAATTACGACTTCCTTTTGTTGGAAGAAAAAAAGCAGTTCTCCTTTGTTCATGTAATTTCTCTGTGCTGTTTACATAAGCTGGGCTGTGGTCCGGAAGTTGTGAATGTTCGTGAAAGAATGCATGGCATGCCTTTGTAACACGTATCCCTTGTGTTGGGGAGGAAGGACAGCACATGGCAGCAGAATGTAACATGTTTGATCCCTTTTGTGAATGTGTTTTCAAGTATTGGATGCTTGACTGGTTGTAACGTGTTCAGACAGCCAAACGGAGTGTTTATAGTTTGGACTGATAGGGCCTTAGTTGTTCATTTCTTGTTTTTGTGCCATGGTGGACACATACAGGTTCATTGAGATGCTGTGGCATCTTTCAGCTCATGCTCTCCGTGAGGTCTATCGCCGGACTTATGCTGAAGATGTGGCTGCAAACCCTCTTCCTGCGCCTCTGACATCTTTAATGTGGCAGACTTCACATGCTCCAGCCCTGCTTGGTATAACAAAGGTGGTTTTTGGAGCAGTGTCCCTCGACCTGCTTCTTTTTGAACTTTCTCTAGTACTGTTGGAGCGTTGTTTATCCACATCATTGTCGATGCTCGTGCTTGTTGTCTGTGTTTCTGTGTGTGTGTGTGTGTGTGTGTGTGTGCGTGCGTGCGTGCGTGTGTGCGCGTGTGTGGGTGGGTGCATGCAGATGTGTGTGGGTGAGTGCATGTACATGTGTGTGTGGGGGTGCATGTACATGTGTGTGTGTGGGTGCATGTACATGTGTGTGTGTGGGTGAGAGAGAGAGAGAGAGAGAGAGAGAGAGAGAGAGAGAGAGAGAGTGCTCTACATCTGGATTTTTTTTTGTTTTTAAGTTCAACCTGTCGTTGGTGCTTGTCATCCAGATTCTGGTTGCTGCATGTGTGTGTGTGAGGGAGAGAGACATATATATATATATATATATATATATATATATATATCAGCCTCCTGATGAGTCCGTGAAACTCCGACGAAACAGTTTGTCACAGCCCCTCGTTTGTTGTCCTCTTCTCCCTCTCTGCCTACGGTTTACCGGGCAGTTCTATTTGACGATATATGAGTCGGTGAAACTCCGACGAAACAGTTTGTCACAGCCCCTCGTT